GCCCTCCCTCCTTCCCACCCCCTGTTTACTTAAATTTTATATTTTTCAAAAAAATATTTTCTAATTTTTAATTAGTTTGAAAAAAGTTTACCACTCAGCACCAAACATGGGAAAATAAAACCATTCATTTTTCAGGAACATATTTTCAAGAAAAATATTTTCCTTCGTACCAAACACACCCAATATCAAGATAAGTTTTCCTATGTCTACCCTTTTAAGTTTTGTACCAATTGGCAATTGCCACTACTGGGTGTCCTTAAAAAATTTCAAGAACTAAAACACTCTTCCTAATAGTGTTTAGTTAATAAAAGAATTTACAAGAAAAACAAAAATGTCATCCTTTTTAAACAAACGCCCGCAGAGTCCTTGTTTTCTTCTTCGATTTCGATTTTTCTTCTACTTAAGACCACAATGAAATTGAGTTTAGAAGGAACAATGATCCCATATCCCATGAAACAATTATTAACCGGAAGTCAAACTATTTATGAACACAAATTTATAATTTTTGCAGTGTATTAGCAAGTCTGCAAAGATCTTTTCTTTTCCCTGATTTATTTAATCCATTTCTTTTGGTGTTTGCCCATGGGATGATAATCTTATTTATTTATTTTTTACCCACGTATTTTTTCACGAGACATGAGATAAGAAATCTAGTATTTCACTTAATTCAAGTTGATGCTATTTTGACTCTTCCTCAAAGAAAAAGATGATCAAACAATTCCCAATCATAGCCCTTACAGGTCGGATCATCCGTATAATATATAAAAAGAAACTCCACATATTTTTTTTTTGCGACTTTTGCAAAAATGACTTCTTTTGTTTTATATTTACTGCAAATGCAATTGACATTTTTACCTTTTCACTCATTCGGCATCTTTTTACCAATTTTGTACTACACATTTTATTCTTAACTTGATTTCTCGAATTTTGCAAAATTCATGATTAAAAACTTGTCCACAGGTAGCGGTGTACATGGATCGGGTTAGTTTGGGTTTTATCAAAATCAAACCAAACCAACTATATCGGTTTGGATTGGTTTGGTTTTGTCGGGTTTTCGAGTTTTTTGGGTTTTCTTTTGTTACAAGAATATTATTTCAATCTTACTTTCTTAAAGATATAGATCAAGTTCTATTAAGTGGATATATGTTTAGTAAAAAATTAAAAAATTGACAAACATATGATCTATTAAAATATTCTTATGGTGGAATTTTTTAGTAACATATGGTAGTTATTTTCTTAGTCGACTAATAATAATTTTTCGTTGATGTACACTTTTAAAGTTAACCAACTTTTAGGTACTTCTGTCCGTGCCGGACGCCAGTGAGTTGATTCAGCCGTTTCAGAGACTTCAAGGTATACCTGCTTGATGCTCGCAGGCCTCGAAGTCACCTTTTGATATTGTCTTTACTATTGTTTATCTTTCTATCAAATCAGTATTGTACTTAGAGATTCCTAGTGTACTTTATTAAAGCTTATGAATCTGTACTACCGATTTTAGGGATTATATGACTGTTGTTCCATTTTGATTTTATTATGACATTTATTAGTTTAATTTAATATCTTAGTCGTTATTTCTGCGAAATTCTCAATGTATGTTAGGGTTACCTAGTCTTAGAGACTAGGTGCCATCACGACTTCCTAAGGTGGAATTTTGGGGCCGTGACAGGGTGATATCAAAACTCTAGGTTCATAGGTGCTATGAGTCATAAGCAAGTTTAGTAGAGTCTTGCGGATCGGTACGTAGACGTCTGTACTTATCTTCGAGAGGCTATGAAACTATTATGAAATTACACTTCTTTGATTCCTTATCATGCTGATTTGTTGGTTTCGAAATCTGAGCCTTTGCACTTATCTTCGAGAGGCTATGCACATGTATTCTTGTATATCTATTTTCTCTACGATATGGTTTGGACTGGTAGCCTATGACCACGCCAGGAGGATTGTGATATTGAGCCTGTGACTATGCTGGGTGGATTGTGATATTGAGCCTATGACCACGCCGGCTGGATTGTGATATTGAGCCTGTGACCACGCCGGGCAGACTGTAATATTGAGCATGTGACGAAGCCAGACAGATTGTGATATTGAGCTTATGACAATGCCGAGCGAATTGTGATATTTGCATGCGAGTTGTCCGTACGATTGTGATTTATGTTGTGGCACGAGGTCTTGGCCGTGTGAGGGTGATTGATAAAGTGGGCACCAGGTTCCATGTGTATAAGATTCATGATTTGTGACTTGAGATTTTTGGTTATGAGTTGTGGTGCCTCGGGGTGACTATTGTTGTAAATCCTGTGTCAGAATTGTTTGTTGATTAGAGCTGTCATTATTTTTCCTTAATTTTGTTTCATTTATATTTAATATGTGCTTTGATTATTTTGCTGTTTTATACACATGATAATTCTTTGTGCCATTTATTTATTTTGCTTGCCATTGTTAGCTTTATGTTGATAATCTTCTCATGTTATTTGATTAGTAATTGTCTTGACTCGAGCCTCATCATTGCTCCACCGAGGTTAGTGTTGATACTTTATGGGTACCGACTGTGGTGTAATCATACTACACTTCTGCACATTGCAAATTCAGGTGTTGGAGGGTGTGTACCCATGCATTGTTAGCTTCTTTGATCGTGAGGATTCAAGGTAGAGCTGCTCGATTGCCGCAATCCCTTGGAGTCCTTTCCTTTAAATTGTACTGTTAATTCTCTATCCGAATAGTATTTTATTGTGTTTTGAGATATTTCTATATATTCATCTAGAGTTCAAGAATCTATACTACCTAATCTTGGGGATTTGTTGTGATTATCGCCGTATTGTCTTGTATCACCTTTACTTTCCGCTTTTATATTAAACTCTGCTTCATTATATCATGTTTTTAATGTAACTATTGTAAGTTATCGTCTTACCTAGTTTTAGAGACTAGGTGTCATTATCCTTAAGATGGGATATTGGGTCGTGACAACAAATAACAAGTAAGTTATGGATACGAAGTAAGGAAATGTAGCAGTTTAGGCATGTAACAAAATATAACATGGAACAAAATAACAACGTAAAGGTAAATAGCCCAACCCACATGCTTTAACCCACGACATCGCATATACACTCGTCGTCTCGTATATGCGTCGTTCCCATATATAATTCACGTAACAAATAGACCAACAAGTCTTAATTCCCTCAAGTCAAAGTTAGGCACGTCCCTTACCTCTTATAGCAACCAAATCAACAACCAATCACAAGTTTTCCTTTCGAACAAGCCTCCAAACCAACCAAATCTAGCCAAAAATCGTTCGAACAATTCAAAATAAGTTTTAGAAACTACCCACGAAATAAAAGAGTTCAATCTTTGATGAAACTGAAAAAGTCAATAAAAGTCAATCACGGGCCCGCTTGATCAAAATCCGAGATCCGTACCAAAACCCGATTACTCATTCACCCCCAATCCCGGTTATGTAATTTGTTTTGAAATCCGACCTCAATTTGAGGTCGAAATCTCAATTTTACATAATCCCTAAATTCTACCCAAAATCCTTAATTTCTACCATGAAATTCTGAGATTTGATGTTAAAAACTCATGAAAAGTAATGGGGAATTGATAAAAAATGAATTAGAGTTGCTTACCAATGAATTTGGAAAGAAAAGTTTTTCAAAAATCGCCTCTAGAGTGTTGGGGGTTGAGAAATGGTGTAAAATTAGCTAAATCCCGATTTTCTTTTAACCAACTACAAACGTCACAATTGCAAACTCTTGTTCGCAAAAGCGAACCACTCTTCGCAAAAGCGAAAAGCTGTACAACCATCAATTATCGCAAAAGAGACAGAAAACTTGCATTTGCGAACCACCCCCATTCGCATTTGCGGTTCCCACCTTCGCATTTGCGAAGGTTGACCGGCTAAGCTTATGTCGCATTTGCGACCAGACAATTGCAAAAGCGAAGCCCCAATGATCGCATTTGCTATACTTTCTTCG